GATTGAAAGACCACTAAAGATATACTATGATAATAAATCAGTTGTTTTATACTCCAACAATAATAGGAGCTCGACTAAGTCAAAGCATATTGACATCAAGTTCCTAGTTATGAAAGAAAGGGTACAAAGTAAACAAATTTCTATAGAACACTTGGGAACAAACTTTATGTTGGCAGATCCTCTCATAAAAGGTGTACCACCCAAGGTCTTTCATGAGCATACTGCTCATATGGGTATATCAGAATTTGAGGAAACTTTAGTTTAATGGGAGTCTGTCATATGTTTGTTATATGCTCATATGGGTATATCAGTATTTGTACAGATATTTTCTGATCAGAAATAAAGCTTCAGTTTATTATATTTTGTACATTATTGCTATTAAAGTTATTAATAATCTCGTAAACATAAAGTTGGACCAGTTGAAAATTGATATATACAGATCACATTCATGTAATTTTCATGCTACACATTTCATAATTGATCTATGTTATTTGGTTATGTTAATATTAGTGATCATTGATGGGTTTAGCTATGATTGATATAGTGAAGACCGCTTTGGTCCTATATTAATATGGCCAATGGACAAGATTGTTTTGTATGTCCTGTTTAATAATGACAATAGTTTTGAGCTCATAAAGTATAGCATATTTATAAGGATACATATGTGACTCAGTGGGAGATTGTTAGAATTTTAAGGGTCACACATGTATAACTAAATATGTTAAACCATTATTTTTTATTAGCCAAAATTAAAATGATCCAATTAAAGTAAAGTTATTTGGTTAAGGGACATAATTATTATTATGAAAATTAATTGTGTGGATATCATCAGTCATGTTTCTAAGAAACTTAATGACGAGATAAGTTAGGAATATGAAACTCTTGAGGCATAATTGCAGATTCATCAATTATGAATATAATCATAATTGTAGATTCATCAGTTATGACTATAAATAAGGTTATGGTCCCTAGTTGCAGTATCAAATGAAGCTTCTCTTTATCCGTCAAGGAGAAATCTAAAGTTCTTAAGGATACTTGCAATTAGAAGATCAAATAATCAATTAATTCAGAAAATACTCTAATGAATTTTATGCATATTAATATGTTTCTTAATTATTATAGGATTTTATGCATATTATAATAGATTTAATAAGTTTTATGGAAACATTCTTAATCTATTGTTTTGGATCTATTAAGTTTATTTTTGGACCAAAATTCGGTTTTGATTCTATAAAATAATTATTTGATCCGTTAAAGAAACTCCAACACCTTGTACTTAATTTTGATAAGTAAATAGAAGAACCTCAAATATTTTGTTACTTGAATTATGTGTTTCCCCTGCTTTCAGAATTGACCACTCAATGTCGCTTTCAATTCACACTCTGCCTCTGATAGATCCTCTACGACTGACTGTATTCAGCAGTGTCTGCCATCTTCCAACATCTTGTGACAACTTAGTGATCAAGAAAAGTGATCTATTATCTGCAAGCTGAAAATATAATTTCTGGACCACACTTATCCAAAGCTTTTTCTTCCAGGAACTCAACTCATGCATACACAAATGGTACATGATAATGTGTTTGAAGAAAGGGGTTCAGTTACTCTTAACTCGTTTCAACTGAAATGATACATGATAGTGTGTTTTGTGGAAAGGCAATATAATTACTCGGACAACTCATGTAAACCATGAGATACCAAAACAAATAAATAAATAAACATAGTATTGTTTGACATGGTTAAGATGGTAGATTTCTCAAATCTCAAATGACAAATATAACAAATTATAGTAAACAAGTTGAAGTTGGACAAACAAAAAAATGCAATCCGACACACCGACATATAGGAGATCACACGAGAGAGAACACCTGGACATTCTAATATAGTCGGGCTGCTCTTCTCATCGAAAACAAAGAGTTCCAACCGCTGACATCTTTAACAAGCCCACGGACACTAATTAAGCTGCCGGTTGCTGACAGCTTCCTCCCTGCAATGAACTTTGGCAGCATCATTAAGGTGTTCACTTGGCACAAACTCTCTAGAGCACCCCCGTCATCACCCTGCACTCAGATGTCACTGCAGCGGGAGGTTCTTGACGTGACCGAGATCTAGACACGGTCTTTTGTTGCTTCCTTATCCTGATAATTTGTAGTGCGAGCTCTGATCGTGCCAGATTGGTTCAGACAAGTTGGCCGTGCAGGTTCTTGTTTGTTGTGGCCAATCTCGATGACATCCAGTGGTACACCAACTTCACCGGCCTTGGCAACGGAGGAATCGTTGGATGAATCTATACCAAGGAAGAGGCAGACCACAGCGCAGTCATCAATCTTCGAGGTTGGATACTTGAGCTTCCATGCCCTAACTGCTGATTCAACAAGAATACGAGCTGCGGAGGACCTTGCAGAAGCAGTACCGACAATCTTTACCATCTCTGTTGGACAAGACATCCCAGACCTGACATAATGTGCGAAATCATTAGCAGTAGCATAGTCATGCTCATTCGGAAACTATAAAGAGGCCATTCAACAATAAGTTCATGGTGTTTTGGTTGGCTGCTACAGAAACAGAGAGAAATCATTATCCATCTTACCCCATCAGTAGCCAAGACGATGAACTCATCTTTTTCTGTGATGCATCTATATGAAATCTCTGGCACAGAAATCAAACCAAAATTCTTCAAACAAAAATCCCCCAAGGCTCGTGCCATTGCCAATCCAGGGGAGTCAATATTAGGCAGCCATACACGAGCCACCTCTGGCTCATCCCGAAGAGCAAAGAGGCCCCTACGACGCCTAATTCTTTCTGCTTCCCCTGTCAAGAAAATCATAAAGTGATTGTTTCTGCTTCCCCTGTCAAAATATCATCCTCTGCTTTCGAGCCTGTACCATTTCCATTCTTTCTTCCACGGTTCCCTATAAAATAGAAGACAACGACAAACATTACCACATGAATTCGGGAGCACAAATGAAAGACCTCTTTTATTACCAATATTAACTGATCAAATATACAATGGTTCTTAACAATCTGTATGTTGTAAATAGCTTATGCTCACTGCAATAACAACAGGTCATGATAATGCAAATACAAATGATCACAACATAATAATTCCATGATGCATGGCACATGCTAATCTTATCACAGCCTGTTCTTCAACAGCTGGGTTCCACCAGGGATCCTAAGGGAAAAAGATTAGGAGGTCATGTTAAACTCACCAAAAAACATAGCAAGCATATTAAATAAATTTAGAAAAGTTTATCGTCTTCTGATACCAATGCCTAGCTAGCTTTAAGCAAACCTTGCTAGTACTGTAGGAATACAGAAAAACAAGCATCTCAATCATTTCGTTTATGATAGGACTCGATGAGTCACTGTGTTGGCATACTTCAAATCAAAATTAAAAGTCTCACTTTGGTGATGATACTAACTTGAAGCCTTTTTTTACCAAATTTCTGTCTCTCAAGTCTGATGAGAAAGCAAATCATTTTATCCTAGAATTATAATTAAATTTATCTTAGATAAACAGAAACAAATATCTCTATTGACAGCAATGAAAAATACATTATCATCGACATATCTTAAGTCCAACAGAAGCATAATGACATTTTTATGTTCTGTGACTTTCTGATGAGTGATTACCTAAAAAATTAATAGTCGCGATGACTAGTATCATGCATGGCTTTCTGAGTTCCTTCATCATGATACATAATTACATATAC